AGACACCTGCACGCACATGTGTGCAGATATCGTTTTGCACCTCCACTCAAGGCTACGAGTCTTCGACACATCGCACAACTGCTTCTCCGCAAGCATGCATTCCTATGCAAGTGAATACTATTGAATACTCACATGTTATCACATACATGACCTGAGTCCTTACATGCATCAATCCTGTGTGCGGGCAAGCCGATTTTGAGCATATCTTCGTTTCGGATGGTTGTATCAACCTCATGCACATATGTTTCCGCGCCCTGTAACATGTTCGGCCCTGTATTGTGCATACGGGTTTACTGCTCAGGATTCGAAGTAAGGGAACCTGCTGCCTGGATGCCTGGTTTAAGCGGTCTTGTCATGCAGCTTGCGCCTGGATGCATGAAAAGCATTTGAAAAGCTTGAATGTTCTGGCTTGGCAGGATCCGCATTACCTCGGCCACACACCTGGTGTTGAATTCAGGTTCCAAGGAGTTTTGGTGTGCAAGGATGCTGCCTTGACAGTTGCTCGAAGTGAGGCTTCATGGCTTTTGTTTATGATGGGGATTCGGATGCAGGGCAATCATGGCTAACACGCTGGCCGCGAGCTACACAGAAGCGAATCAGTGCGACTCACTGAGGCGTTGTTCACGCATTGGTCCCGCCACGCCACCTTCGCGATATGTCTAGCAGTCGATGCTTGTCAACAACTTGGGATGCCAGCTGACTCCTTGCTTGAGCTACAGTTGCATGAGGGGTTTTATTGAATGGCTCGAGACGCCATGAGCAAGAAGCCGTGGTAAAAACCAACCTGCTAGAATCCAAAAATCATCAGATGTGACAGTGTTACCTCCAGAATGCCCTTTTCTTTTCATTGAATTCTTAGAGCGATCAGCAGCGGTCCATGCTCCTGGCACATTGATTTGCCGGCCGTTATGTCCGTCCTGGCCCCTTCTGCCTCCAGCTCATGAAATGCTTTAAACCAGAAGGACACCCCTAAAGAAAAGGCACTCCGAACATCTCTGAAGACTGAAAGCGATCTGAATTCCGCATGTTGGGAGATCTTGGCCAGGTGGGCAGCGCTTTACTTCGGCCATGGTGGTTCAGGCGACGGTTTGTTTGAAGCACAAGCAGACAGAGCCCGGTGAATTCTCACAGGCTTGCTGCGCTGCACGCGCAGAGCAAAGCTTGGCAAGATTTGAACACCCCTAAACCCTAAACCCTCAACCCTAATCCGTCGAAGAGCAGAGACCGGCAAAGTTGAAGTGCACGGAAGCGTCCGCATGGGAGGCTACGGAGTGAGCCGTGGTGCCTTGGCAGACGTCGGTGCGGCGTCACCGGTTTGTCTTGCCAGGGCCCGAGGAACCAACAGTTCAGCAGCCCGGGTGTCACCGGGGTGTCTGGCATGCAAGAGAATAAAACCCACACGCCGTCAAGCTGCATTGGGAAGTAGCATCGCGAGTTCCGGAGTCCAAGTCGCCGAGGAAGACATGATGCACATGACTCAGGGAGATGCCATGGAGGACGGCATGGGGTGGCCAGCGCGATTGGGCTGGGTGTTATACTGTGCTCTGGATGCTGGATCGTGTTCGCAAGTGCAAGATACGAAGCGGACCATTTTTCCCGCAGGGTTTCTGCTTTGGCTTTGGTGGGGATGAGCGAAATGTCAGAAATGCTGAGACCCTCAGCCACCAAGTGACAAGAACATGACGAGATAAGATACTTCAAATTGGTGAGGCCGTGCCTATGCCAGTTCGGTGGGCTGAAGCCGTGGTTTGAAGAAAGCTGTGAGCTTTACCGAGAGGACGTGGTGAAGAGCGGAACCTGCTGCATCAAGTTATCAGAAGTAGTAAAGGGAAGGACATCTGGAAGCCTGGAAGACGCTTGGGTTGAGGACCTTGGGATTGGGGTTCAGGCTCAGGGTCTAGGGCCCGTGAATCCAATGCGTGGCTGTCAACCTGACATCCAGCATCCAGGATGTGATCTTCGCACTCTGCTTGAAGCGCCAGTTGGGCTTGCAGGCATTCCTTTGCAGAGTGTTTTTACGCTAGCTGGCCGAACTCTGAAATTTTCGCATCGCGCTGTCGGGTGTCTCGCATCTTTGTTCAACCTTCGGGCTTAGATGAACCTGCCGTTAGCCCATCGCCTCTGTCGGGCCCTGGAGAGGTGTCGAGTTATGGCTTTCTTCTTCCGAGCTCAGCGGGTAACATGGACTTCGACACCCAAGTCTTGACACAGGCAGAATCAGTTGAGGGCACACTTATGCAGCTTTCAGCCTTTAAACCACAGTCTGGACGTCCTCTGGCGGCGAGAATGTCTCGAGTCCACGACCTGCGCCTGTGCACTGTCAGAGGCTTGTTTGCAACGCAGGAGTTCATCGTCAACTTCCACCAGGCGCGTGATGAACTTCTGGCGACTCGGCCGGTTGCGAGTCCTTTTTTCGCGATCTGTGGTTGCGGGCTCGAAGCCGAGGCCCAGGTGGAAGCACCGGGACCTGGGCTCAGCTAGAGACCCCTGTCATCCATGCGGGGACGTGGCGATCTGAAACCACAAGAGCTCCTTTTAAGCCGTCTACTTCCTCGAGGTCAGCCTCTGCAGCGTTTCATCTACTGGGACGCGCAGCCACCTCCTCTCCACGGCTGTGGCGTTCCCAGCCGCTTTGGGCTGTGAGTGTCGCTTGCATTGAGCGGAGGGTTGGAAGGCACAAGCAACTCCAAAGGCTTAAGACAAAGTTACTGAGGTTTCGTGTTGTACTGCGGCCGATGAGGTTGTCAAAATATCCACCCAAACCTGTTGTCATTCGCTTGAATCTTGGCCCTTCAGATTCAGAGGCGAGTGAAGCATGGTCCAATGCGTGGTCTGCAGTATGGGTTTGGGTTTCGACTGAGCAACAAAGTTTGACTCCCGACCCCAGCCACAGATTTGCGACAAGTGTGTACAAGCGTTCTCTGAATGCACGAAGGCCTTATCATCGCCCACCCCGTTGAGAACGAGACGGATCTTCATAAGGCTTTGCTGGAAGTTCAGCTGTGCTCTTCAGCTGTAGCTTCAGTTCTGGGCGCCTTGTACATCAACGCTTTCCTGCAGGAGTGTGAGGGCTAGGGCTCTCTCGGCTGAACCTGGAGTTAGACAGGTCCACGCCGCCGTGCTCCAAGACACCCAGCTGCAGGTTGCACACCTCGCCCAGGCTGTCTTTGGCACTCGGGGACATTTCGGGGGTCGAAGCTCCGAGTCGTTCCGCAAAACACCGGGTTTCTGAAGCTCGGAGCCCACGAGCGGGGAGTGCAGGTCCCGCACCTGCCACCCCCGCGCCTCCTGGTGGGCGGGCGGCCTGGCAGGGCCCAATGCGTGGTCTTCTCAGGATTTTGGTGGAGATCTTCACGAACAAATATAGTAAATATCGGACCTGAAAGAGGATTGAAGCCTTACAAAGCGCAAGGGGGCTGCAGACTCCGTGGATCCGGGGAAGTGCTTTTCGCGGCCGGAGGTCAGTTCGGGTCGTTACGGGACATGGGTGTGTAAAATGAACGGAATCACGCTTTTCAGCTTACATGCTGCCACGTTTAGATTCTGTGGATTTTTCATTCATGCGTCGAGCAAACTTTAGACATGCACACCTTCAGCCGTCGTCGGTGTTTCAAGCCATTCACGCTTTGGTTGTAACTTCTCCGACAGACTTTCGAAGAAGGGCTAAATGCGCTCAAGACGATAAGCTCTCTGCAAAGGCGCAGCTCGATGGGCTAAAACGGTGCGACTTTGAGGGCAGCACCGCCTGAGGTTTCAGTCGAAGCGATGTTAATCGGTAGGGACGCTGTCATGCAGTTCCGGCACAAGTTTCCTGGCTGTCACTGCCAGAAGTGCTCGTAGCTTGTCCCATGTGGATGGCTCGTAGACACGACTGCCGGTGCATGCAGTGGCATCGTTGCACTAGGTTCAGATTGGGAGTCTAGTGAGAGCTCAGCTCCGCGTTCCCGCATGCCGTGAGGTGCTCAAGGGCACTTTGCAAGAGTGAGCAAAGACAGTTGGGTCAAGTCCTTACGGGATCGTGTTTAAACGCTTCGATAGCACCACGGTCAGAAAGCAGTGACCCCACGCAGGCACTCCAGAAATGCCCAGAGCTTTTCATCCTTTGCCTAAGCGCAGCACAGTCGACTTCGTGACTTCGTATGCAGTGAAGACTTCCTGGGGCCTCCGGAGCTGCCTCGCGGCCCCACCAAGTGGCCCTCTCTGAGCCGAAGCTGAGGTGTAAGGCTGATCAAGAACAGGGGTATATTAAGGAATATATCTTCATTTATAGGGGCCTTGAGATAATGGTTTGAGCTATATTCCTTAATTGGGAATTTCTGAGCCTCAACCTGGCGTTCGGAGCTGTCGATGGGATTGGGTTGAGGGCGAGTGTCTCATCGGTTTGGGGAGGAAGGTCGGAAAGAAGGACCTCCAAAGGCCTTGAGAACCTGGGCAAGGGCCAGCAGTTCCAACCGTGGTGGACACGTTTTTTTTGTCATGATGTCATGTTTGGAGTTTCCATCTGGGAAGTCTCTCCCTTTTGGTTTCAAGCATACAGAAGCATTTCCAAAACTGTGAACGTCAGACACGGAATGAAGCTGTTCAGAACTTCATAATCGCGACGAACAGGAATGTTCAGGACGTCTGCGTACCAGCAGGAACAACACGAATGAGTATAGCAATAGCAACAGCCGTCATGCTAGTGGGGATTCGCAATCGTCCTCTCAGGGTCTATGGGTTTGTGGAGCCACGTGCTGCAGCTCTTCGACCTAAGAACTCCCATGCCTCCGAGATTCCTCATTTCCAAACCACCACCGGCACACACCGGGACCCAAGAAAGCCCATGGATGCCTTAAGTCTGACACCTCTAAAATTCTGCACCCAAGAGTTCTCGAGTCTGAATCAAGACGAAAGCAAACCCTGAACAGATGTAAAGCTCCTGTGGTGTTATCCGGCAATTTACCTTGAAGCCAAGCCCTAAACCCAAAGCCCCTAAACATTGGACGTGAAGACGGCCAGGAATGTCGACGCTGGGCTACCGTGACTCGGGCTCCGTGGTCCTGTCGAAGGCTGAGGCGCTCCGACAGGCGCATGAGAAGGCCGGACCGACTTGAGAGCGTTTAGGGTTTTGGGTTTACGGAGTGCTTGAAGGTCGGGAATCGGGTAAGTAGGTTTTTCGGAGGGGTATAATCAAGTGACATTAGTCCAGGGTGCTTAGAACTTTCCTTCCGTGCTGTTTACGAAGTAGACATCTGCACAAAGCGTCAACATGTTTGTTTATTTGTTTGCTTGTCTGTTTAACTTTTGTTTGTCTGCATTGCATGGTGTTCCACCTATCATTCGTTTTCAAGAGCCGCACGGCATGAGTCTGCACGTGCAGCCACCGGTAATTGTAAATGCTTCGACATCCACAGGTTGAACAGACTCTCCGCATCCGGACCCAATGAACAGATTCAGAGTGCATAAGACGGGTGGCACCTTCTAAGCAGGGGGTGGGTCACTGGGGATGGGATTAAGAGGAGAGGAAAGAGGTTCTAGGACAAAACAAAAAAAACCTCTGAGCACCTCGGCTGGGGCCGAGGCGAACTGACTTGGTAGCAGAGAGCTGGCTTGAACGTCCTCAAGCCTCTACCAGACCCAGGCCCTAAACCATCCTAAACTTCTTCTCCGAGGTCCGTAAGCCCTCGACATACCAAGGTCTTTAGACGGGGACTTAGGGACACGATCATCAATGTAGAGCAATTCTGATCCCGTCTTCCAAACTTCTATGGGCCTTGAAGCCCAGGCAACCACCGAAAAACGTACCCAAACCCCAAACCCTAAACCCTAAACCCTAAACCCCTAAACCCTAAACCCTTAAACCCCTACACCCTAAACCCTAAACCCCCAAACCCCAAACCAAGAAATCCACCCTTAAGGATGGCGAGCGGTCGCGGATGATGGTCTTTTCGAAGAGGCAGAGCCCTCCGAGGACCTCACCAGCAAATGCACGAAGATTTCGGCTTCAGGCTTTAGGGCTTTAGGGTAGTATGCCATGGTATGGTATAGTATAGTAGAGTAGAGTAGAGTAGAGTAGAGTAGAGTATAGTATAGTATAGTATAGGATAATCTAGTATGACAAAAAAGGCCATATAGGTACAACATACGTTTAAGAGTTTAGATCTAGGATGGTTTACCCTATACTCTTTAACACCCGTAATGCATGTTTTTGCCGTCATCGCCGTTTTTGCAGGTGTCTCGATTACCCTGTCTTGGTTTAGGCCTAGAGAGCTTGAGGTAGGGTCTGGAACAGGTCGGATTTCGGATATGTTTGGACTGTCAAGATTCTCAGGTTTGGTTTCGAGCTAGGGCGCCTAGTTTGGGCCGCAGCCAGGTTTTGAAACCCTCGGCCCAGCCCGCAACTCCTAAAGCCCTAAACAGCCCTGCATCCCAAGCCCTAGGCCCTAAAACCCATAAGCATGAAACCCCGTAACACCTCTCCCCGGAATGTATTTCAAGCCTAGACCCGGCCCAAACCCTCCAAACCCCTAAACTCTCAACATCCTTCAAGCCTAAATGCCCAAACCCTACGTCCATCCCCAAATGCAAGGAAGCGGAAGGATGAGCGGGAGGAGCGAGACAAGGAGGAGGCGGCCGAGTTCGAGATGTCGCGTGGCTATATGGGGGCAGGTTTTGGGTGGGAGGTTGGTAAGTTATAGGCTGACGGATTAAGCGATTTGCAGGTTTCTGGGTTGCTTGATACGGTCTTTTCAGCAAGTGCCGTTCTTGTGTTTGACTTTCATTTTTTGGCATCGTCGTTTACGTTTACGCCCTGCAGCGATAGCACGATGATGTGGAGTTCAGGACGTCTGGGTCCTCTTAGAGACATTCACGGGAATTCCAAGTCTGTGAATGAAAAGATCACCAGTCTACCACGGTTGCTTCAGGTCTTGCTACAAGATGCGCAGCGCCCCATCTCGCTACTAAACCTCCTCCCTTACATCTGAGATTGAATCGTGGTTAAGTGGGTTTGGATGATGCCGTGTAGCACATCGAGACGAATGGTTCTCACCTGACGCGCCACAAGGAAGCTGGCCAACATCGTGGCGAAGCGTCCAGACAAGCGCCTGAAGTGGCTTCAGAAGGGCATGCTGCTGATCGGGAGGAGCGCCACTGGCTTCTGAGTTCCAAACCGTCACAGCATGTCATTGCCATTTCTTGTTTACGTCTCCTTTCTTTCTGCAGGGCTATTAGTTTAGATTTCCACGGGATGCCAGGGAGGGGAGGGATGGGATGAAAGTCTCTGCCAGGGGCCCTAGTGAGGGATTTTGTTCGATGATTTCGATGCCAGAGGGCCTCGAAATCCCGTGGTGCTGGTGTTCTTTGAGCCGTGCTTGGCTGAAGGTTTCTCCACCGTGGCTACCCTTTTAGGTTAGCCTTCTCTTCAGTGCTCAGGAAGATGCTCAAGGCCTCGGATTTCTATGAACTGGTCATGGCCACGACCTCGAGCAAAGTCTCTGTGATTGTTTGCCAGACTTTCCCAGGAATTTTGGATCTTGTAAACGCAAGGCTGAGACCCTGCCTTGCAGTGTGCGTCATCCGAGGACAAGGCTTTCATCTCAGACGCGCCGGCCGAAGTTGGTGCCCCTGTCTCCTTGCTATGCCTTACACGACTCAGCCCAAGAAGAGCCTTCAATTCGATCGTAGATGCTCTTGAACTCGTGTGTTTGCCGGGAAAGCTTTGTATCGAAGTTCCAGGTAGGAGACCGCAACAGCCACAGCCCTAAACCCTAAACCCTAAACCCTAAACCCTAAACCCTAAACCTAAAACCCTAAACCCTAAACCCTAAACCCTAAACCCAAAGCATCGCCAGGTGCCAGGATGAAAGCATCCATCCTCGCCAACCTCCACCTCTTCTCTTCCAAGCAGCAGAAGGCCTTGCAAAGTGACCCTCGGTGCTTACCGAAGGGGGGTTAGGGTTCAGGGTTTAGGGTTCAGGGTTTAGGGTTTAGGGTTTAGGGGAAAGGGTAAAGCCTTGTCCGTCTGGCATTCGCAGTATCAGCCGCACCTGAGCAGCCCAAGGAATCATGCCATTTCAACCAGCCGCTTTTCCGCAGATCTGTCCCGGTTCAGCTTGCTTGGGTCCAGGAAACATCAAGGGCACGCCCCTCCTCCCAAGTAAGGTCCCTGCCGCCTTCTTGCAATGTAGTTGCGAAGCCCAAGACCAATTAAAGAAATGTCCCGGAAAGCTCTAAGCCGTCGTAGGGCGGGAGCTGCGAAGCTCGGCGCCGTTTGTTTGTCCTTGTAGCCCCTTGGTAAACAGACGAGACCGCAGCCTGTAACAGAGATTATATTATGTCGGATCTTATATGTTACATTATATGATATTGTATTGCTTTGGTATTGTACCGTATTCGTTTCTATTCTGCTCGATACTATTTTGTGATATCGTTTGATATTATATGATATATTTCATTACATTACATTATATCATATGATATTATGTTATATCATACCGTATGCATATGCTGTCATACCATATTTTGTTATGTTGTATTATGTTATGTTATACTTATCTTGTCACATCATATTTTGTCTTCTCTTATGTGACAGTTTACTATACCTTTGTCTATTCTATTCTATTCTCTATTCTATTTCTATTCCATAATATTATATGCTAGTATATATATATATATATATTTATGTATGTTTCATATTGTTATATTATACCCAATTCCCGCATATTAGGTTATCTTATATGATATTATAGTGCATTTTGTAGTTTTCTATTGTCTTATCTCATCTGATCTCATCTTATCTCATCTGATCTTATCTTGTCTTATCTTATCGTATATTTTTATACTCGGCCTTTTCTGTTACATTGTATCATGTTATGTTATGGTACGTTCTATTATATTGTATAGTGTGCTATACTATATCATGTTATATTACACTAGGCTATTTACTTGATATTACATTATATGATATTATACAATACTATATACATATTATCTAATCCTATTTTATATCATGCTTTTTCATATATCATTACGTTTGTATGATGGCACATTATATTATACATTATATTAAATTATTTTGTGCTTTTATATAAGACTATACTATATAATACATTTTACTATCATATTATATTTCAATGTACTATATTACAATTTATCTTATTGCATTGTATTCTATTATACGGTTTGGCTGTATGACACTGTAATGTTTTATTATGTTATCGTTTTATAATGTAGTATAGTATTTTATACCACAGAACACTATAAAATGTGGCATAGCAGTATATTATATACCATGTAACTTTTTAACATATTATCATAAAATAAAAAGTAACATAACATATTGCAATATAACAGTATAGAATATATTGCACTGTAATATAAAGTTAGACCATGGTATGGTACATTAGAAAGGACCGTTGTGAGGGCCCAGTAGATCGGTATTATGCGCCGCATTCTCGTGTACGCGCAGGAGTTTTGACATTTCGCGGTGTGGGTTCTCACCACAATTCTTTCCTGTTTGTATTGAGCCCTATGTGTGTATGTGTGTTGTTGTGTGTACAGCCTGCGGCTAGTAAGGAGCGTTGTTTGTCGTGTTGCTGTTAATGTTAGGTATACGGCGCCATGGACCAAGGGCCCGGTTTAGAAACCCAAACACATGATGCCGGATTAGAAGCGTGAACACGTCATCACGACCTAACCGAGACTGGGGGGGGAGAGGGGATGGGTGCAAGGGAGGGTTCCCTCCTGTTTTGTGTAGTGTAGTCTAGTGCAGCGTAGCGTAGCGCAGTGTCTATTTCCTTTCTTTAACCCAGATGTCCCCAGATGTGTTCTACAGTTGCAGTGTCTTGTAGTGCATTTTCCATTTTCCGCCATGTCGGCTTCCTCCATCCAGATACGGGGCACTGCTACTATTTGCTTTGGTTCATGCTTTGGCTCCTGATTTTCCTTCTTTGCTCGCTCAGCCTTGGGGTTTGGAGCCCGCCGCTCAGCATGCTTTTGCACTGGCTCACCAACAGGCTGACCGCGATCGCGCGATTCGCTTGCAGGCTACCATTGGGGAAGATTTCACTTGCCTTTGCCAATGAATTCGCGCCACTGTTCCCACGCACCCCCCCCATGTGGATGAGTGGACGGCGCCGCTGCACCCCCGCGCATCTGCCGCAAATCGACGGTTTTGACCAAGTGCGGGCTCTTATCGGCCCTACTGCCGAGTTTCCTTGGCTGCCATCACGGGTCATGCCATTTTCGCTCGCCTCAAAGCCACTGCCGAAAAGTCCACTGGGCTTGATGGTTTGGGGGCCAGTGCTTTTCTAGCCGCTGGCCAGGCGGCGTGTGATTGTCTTGCGGACTTGTGGGCCGCGTGCCTTTTGCATGGGACCATGCCACAGATTTGGAAGCATCACCCGCATCGCTCTGTTGCCCAAACCTGACGGCCTCCGTTCAATCTTCAGTGCTTCGGCAGCTTTCCACAAATGTATGACGTGTCGCTTGCGTTCGTGCAGGGCGCGGTTTTTTAAGTTGGGCCGGTCGCGAACTGATCGGAGGCATCCCGCGGCGCCACACGGACCATGTACATGATGCATATGATGAACGGTTTTCCTCGGTGTCTGAGTCCCGCTAGTGTCAGGGGTTTTCGTGGGCGCGAAGCCAGACGTTCGCACATGTTTTGATTCGGTCCTCTGGGACATCGCGCTTCAGACCTGGGAATGGCTTTGGTATGCTGGCCAAACTCGTCACTCTTTTGAAGTGCTTGTACAGTAACCAAAAACGATGGCTCGAACACTTTGCCAAATAGTGTGTCGTGCAGAGTTGTCCTGCAAGTGTTGGCCTGCTCAATGGGCTCATGCTGCTGTGGACGTGGCATCTTCAGGTTGCTGTCCCTTCTGTCTCACCGTCTATCTACCTTGATGACCGGGTGATGTTTGCCTTGGGTCGCCATGTGTGTGCGGCGCTTCCTGCGGCTGCCGTGACAAAGCCACCTGCCTCGCTGTGCATCCCGACAAATCTGCTTGCTGGACTACGAGAGCTCCGGCCCGCCGCTTCTTGGCTGCGGACCCGCGGCGCTTGTCACTTCGTTCCGGCTGCTGGGCGTCACCTACTGTTAAGCCTCCGGCGCCGGGGTTGCGGACTCTGCCCGCCTTGACAAGGTCATCACTGACCGCTGCCGCCGCATTGCCGTTGCCTTTTTGATGTCGCTGGTGCTCAGCTAGGTTTCCTGGCTCGGTCCTTGGATTATTGTGTTGCACCAAACTGCCAACGGATGGGCGTGATCAATGAGGCCGTTGGTCGCATCGTCTCCGCGCATTCTGGCTTCCTGCTTCGGTCTATAGATTGACTTCACGATGCAATACTTGCGTCTCACCTACCTGAGGCTGATGAGGGCCAAAGTGGCGCCAGGCCAGGAAGCAGCAGTGCTGGAGATCTTTCATCAAGTTGATAGCCGGACGTTCTGGCGCTCTGCTACCACAACAGATTTTTCTCTTGCATGCGCTGGAAGCATGGGACCCCAGATGCAGTTATGGACTTTCACCTCGCCTTCACCACAACCCCACGAAGGACAAGGTCGTGCTCTTTGCTCCTTCAATGGGCATTTCGGGGTCCATAGAGCTTCTTGCCGCCTTCAAAGCAGGCCTGGAAGAAACCTGCTTTAAAGCTGGCCCGCTGCGACGGGTAAATCGAACCGGAGCGCCACAACTCTCACTGTCAGGTCAAGGCAGTGACGGCACCTCACCATCGGCTTCCGCAACCAACTTCATCCAACCTAGCTCATAACGCACTGGAGGCATCTTGTAAGCAAAAGCTCCGTGCCCATCACTTGTGATAACCAAACCATCTTGTGACAAAACGTGGCCCTCGCAACAGGCACCTATCATTATATTCTACTATAGTATATCATATTTGAGTACAGTATAGTATGGTATAGTATAGTATAGTAATATAGTATAGTGTAGTATTTTATACTATACTATACTGCATCGCGCTACATTCTACAATAGGAAAGCTTTCTACTAGTAGTCTAACTTGTCGCATCGACACGGCATTCAATCTCTCTGCAAGTGCGACCAACCTGAAGTCGATGAGGTTCTCGTCGGCTTCTTCAAAGGACACGCTGCGTCGTGGTCTTCATATCGTCACGATTACAGGATGCATCAACATGGTACACGTAATGATATGGTATGCCCGAATGCAGGCGGACGTATTTCGCCATGGAGGCTTGTGTATTCCAATATGTACTATAGTTGCGAGTTTTAGGCGTTGTGTGAAATAGGTAGGCAAGGGAAACGGAGCAGTCAAAACCTATAGCTTGCCCGGTGGTCTGTTGCTACACGTCTTCATCTTCAAGGCTTTCAAACAAGTTACAAGATTGTGATGATGCGTTATCATCCACCTTTCCGCTCACGCCTTCAAGTGTCAACGTGACATCTTCAAGGCCTCAAACTTTCAATGTTAACGTGACAGGACCGCGCTGCCAAGGAGCCCAAACGCCCAGCCGAGCGCGAAGGCAGGGGCTAGACATGCCTCGCTGTGGATATCTTCTTGTGTTTTTTGTGTTGTCATTTCATGTTTTTGTAGGCTAGACAATGTATCTGGATAGGTTCTCTGCCGTGTTGGAGTTGGGGTTTCGGTATGTTGTTATCCATCTGCATGCCACTTATATAAGACAACTGAACTTGTCGTGCCACACGCGAGTACGTAGTGTTCCCGACCTTAAATTTTCCTTGCCTGTGTAGCCGGCTTTCTGGCAGTTGCCAAACGCTTTGTCATGCATCTCGCGCCTGCTTGTACTACCCTTGTTGGTCGAGACAGATGTGAGGGTGACATGTCTCCGGCCTTCGGAGAACGGTAAGCTAGAGCATGGTCTTTCACTGATTGTCCCACAAGCTGCGACAAGACAACATACTTTGGTCTTTAACCTTTGCGAGATGACGCTTTCCTGTGCCATGAAGCAAGAGATGCAGGTGGCGAGGGCAAGAAGAAGCCCCGCAAGCGCAGAGCAAAGGACACGGTTGCAGCAGTGGTCCGTGATGCAACATCTTGGTCGTCGTCATCAAGCTCCACCATCCATATCATTGTTTGGGTTGAAGCAGCCGACCAATTGCGGAGTGTGCATGTGATTTCTTGTGAGCTGCGTCGCTGCCATCCTGCAATGCCTCCAGTTTGAAGGCCTTGGCATGACCAATAGACGTCTCCTATGTCCACTTGAGCAGACCC